TACATTGAGAAGAAAACTGTTGGCTATCTGTTTTGTTCATTTAAGAAGAATATGTCGCATTCCAGCACCGGAATTTGAAAATAGTTTTCATATACATTTCAGTTTTTTATTCCATGTAACTTCTACAATTTCAACCCTCAATTCATTTATAATTCGAGATTTAATACCAACAATGTTTTAGATTGAAGAATCAACATGTTATGAATTGACCATTCAAGCCCAACGGAAAAATCGCACAGAAAAGGAACCCAGACATAAAATCAGCAACCGGTGATGAGTTTCACAGTGTTTTACATTGAGGAGAAAACTGTTGGCTATCTGTTTCGTTCATTTAAGGAGAATATGTCGCATTTCAGCACCGGAATTTGAGAATAGTTTTCATATATATTTATTTCAGTTTCTCTTCCATGTAACTTCTACAATTTCAACCCCCAATTTATTTATTATTCGAGATTAGATACCAACTATGTTTCAGATTGAAGAATCAACCTGTTATGAATTGATCATTTACGCCCAACGAAAAAAATGCACAGAAAAGGAACCCAGAAATAAAATCAGCAACCGGTGATAAGTTTCACAGTGTTTTTCATTGAGGAGAAAACTGTTGGCTATCTGTTTCGTTCATTTAAGAAGATTATGTCGTATTTCAGCACCGGAATTTTAAAACAGTTTTCAAATACAGTTCAGTTTTTTATGCCATGTAACTTCTACAATTTCAACCCCCAATATATTTATGATTCGAGATTTAATACCAACTATGTTTTAGATTGAAGAATCAACGTGTTATGAATTGACCATTTGAGCCCAACGGAAAAATCGCACAGAAGAGGAACCCAGACATAAAATCAGCAACCGGTGATAAGTTTCCCATTCCTGTGTCGTATTCAATTCACATAGAATATTTTTTCAAAATTAATTATTTGTTATGGAAGGCGATATATCATAGAAAATGTTTCAGTAGTTACCTTTATGTCTCCATGGAGGCACGACAGGTACCCTTACGAGGGGAGAGTATCAACCCTTGGCGTCGGTAAACCCTCATTGCAACCGAGGTAGGCGCCTGGTGGGTTAGGTATATACAGTGTTTTTCATTAAGGAGAAAACTGTTGGCTATCTGTTTCGTTCATTCGAAGAGAATATGTCGCATTTCAGCACCGGAATTTGAAAACAGTTTTCGTATACATTTCAATTTCTTATTCCATGTAACTTCAAAATTTCAACCCCCAATTCATTTTCGAATCGAGATTTGATGCCAACTATGTTTTAGATTGAAGAATCAATGTGTTATGAATTGGCCATTTAAGCCCAACGAAAAAATCGCACAGAAGAGGAACCCAGACATAAAATCAGCAACCGGTGATAAGGTTTCCATTCCTGTGTCGTATTCAATTCACATAGAATATTTTTTCAAAATTAATTATTTGTTATGGAAGGCGATATATCATAGAAAATGTTTCAGTAGTTACCTTTATGTCTCCATGGAGACACGACAGGTACCCTTACGAGGGGAGAGTATCAACCCTTGGCGTCGGTAAACCCTCATTGCAACCGAGGTAGGCGCCTGGTGGGTTAGGTATATACAGTGTTTTTCATTAAGGAGAAAACTGTTGGCTATCTGTTTCGTTCATTCAAGAAGAATATGTCGCATTTCAGCACCGGAATTTGAAGAGAGTTTTCGTATACATTTCAGTTTCTTATTCCATGTAACTTCTACAATTTCAACCCTCGATAAATTTATGATTCGAGATTTAATACCAACTATGTTTTAGATTGAAGAATCAACGTGTTATGAATTGACCATTTAAGCCCAACGGAAAAATCGCACAGAAAAGGAACCCAGACATAAAATCAGCAACCGGTGATAAGTTTCACAGTGTTTTACATTAAGGAGAAAACTGTTGGCTATCTGTTTCGTTCATTTAGGAAGAATATGTCGCATTTCAGCACCAGAATTTGAAAACAGTTTTCGTATACATTTCAGTTTGGAATTCCATGTAACTTCTACAATTTCAACCCCCAATTTATTTAAAATCCGAGATCTAATACCAACATGTTTTAGATTGAAGAATCAACGTGTTATGAATTGACCATCCAAGCCCAACGGAAAAATCGCAAAGAAGAGGAACCCAGACATAAAATCAGCAACCGGTGATAAGTTTCACAGTGTTTTGCATTGAGGAGAAAACTGTTGACTATCTGTTTCGTTCATTTAAGAAGAATATGTCGCATTTCAGCACCGGAATTTGAAAACAATTTTCGTATACATTTCAGTTTCTTATTCCATGTGACTTCTACAATTTCAACCCCCAATTTATTTATAATTCGAGATTTAATACCAACTATGTTTTAGATTGGAAAATCAACGTCTTATGAATTGATCATTTGAGCCCAGCGGAAAAATCGCACAGAAGAGGAACTCAGACATGAAACCAGCAACCGGTGATAAGTTTCCCATTCCTGTGTCGTACTCAATTCATATAGAATATTTTTTTCCTGTGTCGTATTCAATTCATATAGAATATTTTTTCAAAATTAATTATTTGTTATGGAAGGCGATATATCATAGAAAATGTTTCAGTAGGCACCTTTATGTCTCCATGGAGACACGACAGGTACCCTTACGAGGGGAGAGTATCAACCCTTGGCGTCGGTAAACCCTCCTTGCAACCGAGGTAGGCGCCTGGTGGGTTAGGTATATACAGTGTTTTTCATTAAGGAGAAAACTGTTGGCTATCTGTTTCGTTCATTCAAAGAGAATATGTCGCATTTCAGCACCGGAATTTGAAAACAGTTTTCGTATACATTTCAATTTCTTATTCCATGTAACTTCAAAATTTCAACCCCCAATTCATTTTCGAATCGAGATTTGATGCCAACTATGTTTTAGGTTGAAGAATCAACGTGTTATGAATTGAGCATTTAAGCCCAACGGAAAAATCGCACGGAAGAGGAACCCAGACATAAAATCAACAACCGGTGATAAGTTTCCCATTCCTGTGTCGTATTCAATTCACATAGAATATTTTTTCAAAATTAATTATTTGTTATGGAAGGCGATATATCATAGAAAATGTTTCAGTAGTTACCTTTATGTCTCCATGGAGACACGACAGGTACCCTTACGAGGGGAGAGTATCGACCCTTGGCGTCGGTAAACCCTCATTGCAACCGAGGTAGGCGCCTGGTGGGTTAGGTATATACAGTGTTTTTCATTAAGGAGAAAACTGTTGGCTATCTGTTTCGTTCATTCAAGGAGAATATGTCGCATTTCAGCACCGGAATTTGAAAACAGTTTTCGTATACATTTCAGTTTCTTATTCCATGTAACTTCACAATTTCAACCTCCAATTTATTTTCAATTCGAGATTTAATGCCAACTATGTTTTAGGTTGGTTGAAGAATCAACGTGTTATGAATTGACCATTTGAGCCCAACGGAAAAAGCGCACAGAAGAGAAATCCAGACATGAAATCAGCAACCGGTGATAAGTTTCCCATTCCTGTGTCGTATTCAATTCATATAGAATATTTTTTCAAAATCAATTATTTGTTATTGAAGGCGATATATCATAGGAAATGTTTCAGTAGTCACCTTTATGTCTCCATGGAGACACGACAGGTACCCTTACGAGGGGAGAGTATCAATCTTTGGCGTCGGTAAACCCTCCTTGCAACCGAGGTAGGCGCCTGGTGGGTTAGGTATACTTTTATCTATTTCTTCCATTCAACAGAACTGATTTTTTATCATCAGAAAAGACTTCTTAAGTGCAGGAAATTCATTTTAAAAGTCATTATATAGGTCCTACATTTTTCCATTGGAACCTTCTATTTTTTTTTGTGAGAGATATAATTCCCATATCACTGATAAACTTGAAACATCTGTGAGTTGGAATGTTTATTTCTTCATATTGGCTTAAAAGGGTTTTCCTGGGGCTGCAGCTATAAGCATGTTGTGGTCATGCATATATGAAATATCTCCTGGTCTTGGTATGGAATGTATGATGGATCTGAGGCACAATCTGAGTCCAGAGCTGAGTGAAGTGTAAACATGCGCCAGTAGACAGATTAGCACAGCGCTTTCGGTAAGTTTTTGTGCTGAGATTGTCCATTGCCATTGAAACTATATCAGCTTTTTTCTAATTAACTGATAGTTGAAATGGTTGGGTCATTTGTAGCTGTAATACTATCCGTAATACAGTATTATTTCAATCACACACACGATGTAATGATGATTCAACAATGATTTTTGATATTTTCTGTGATGAACTTCGAGAATTAACACAATTAAATAGCAGGAATGAAATGTATGCAAAACACACAAAATATGTAAACAAAGTGCCCTGATAACGCCGCCATCTTGTTTTTGATACAGCGCCCTCAACGGTCGATCACATTGCCAAGTTACTGTTACATTATCATCTCAATGTTCTCTAGTTTACTGAAATTTTGATAATGCCGATATTGGCAACACTGACAACGCTGTTGCTGTTTGTTTTCTCTACTCAGGAACTGATTCTCAAAGATTTCTCACAATTTTATCGGTTTGGTGTTATATTCCTTTTCCTGATTTTGATGGCTTTTCCACAACCCAATGCTCAAAGAGGTAAGCAGATAAAACATACTTTTTTTTTCCAAAATAAAGCATTTTGGAAATTCCCAAGCCTAGAGCACAACGTGTCTAACTGACCGTTACAGGGCCACGTAAATAATTCACAAAAATAATTTTTCAGAAATTGCGAACCGTAAAATTCTGGAAGAACTCCAACTGAAAAAACAACTCCTTCTCAAGCAAGGAGTAGCATCCACACTGAACTCCGCTGCTTTGCCCGTTCTCGGGTCCACGACTACTCAAAGCACTGAGACTCACTCTATGAATTCACACCAACAGAGAACTGCATTACAGACAGCTCATACTCAGTCGACTGGATACTTTATCACTCAAGACTCCTCGTTTGGTAACCTTATTCTACCCGTTTTACCTCGATTCGACGCTAAACCCTAATGTATCCTTGCATGAAGTTGAAGCATCTGGAGCAAAGGCTACAAGACATTTCGATGTTTGATAAGCCTAAAATTGTATTAGAGCAATACGTTACACCTTCTCATTTGGGCTCTCACATGTTGTATACTATTCAGGTAATTCAAAAGTCAAACCTATTTTTATTTATTTTTTCATTCTCAACATTTTACATTAAAAATTATGTGAACGCCGGGCGGTCTAGATGCCATTTCTTTTCTCAAACGTCCCTAATGTCATGTCATGTCACGTCAGTCATTTCAAATTTGTGTGGTTATGTTTTATTTGTTTATATTCCAGTCCAGAAATAAAATCTCTTATCTGAAATAAATGAGATTTTCTACCAGAGAGCAGAGTAGATACTAGACAAAATGTATTCCCTTGATCTTTTTTTCTAGTCACAGTATGGTGATATTGAGGGAAAATTAGTTGCTGATTTAGGAAGTGGTTGTGGTGCTTTGTCCATTGGAGCAGCAGTTCTAAACGCCTCTCTAGTTACTGGATTCGAAATTGATGAGGATGCCATTGAAATTTTTCAAGAAAATTGCCAGGATCATGAACTAACAAACATTGAAGTTATACAGTGTGATGTGTTGAAGGACATCCCTAGTAGGTTCAATAAAGCCTTTGATACAGTGTTGATGAATCCTCCTTTTGGGACTAAAAATAATGCTGGAACTGACATGAAATTTTTGGATACAGCTTTGAGATTATCAAATAATGTTGTATATTCTTTACACAAAACTTCCACTAGGTAAGTTGTGCACCTTATTATTAGCTATGCTACAACAACTTCTCAATTTGTTTTCAGGTCATTTATTTTGAAACATACTGAATCACTAGGTGTGAAAGCTGAGGTATTGGCAGAGTTGCACTATGACTTACCCTCAACTTATAAGTTCCACAAAAAGAAATCAGTTGATATAGAAGTTGATTTTTATAAATTTAGTGTTTAAAGTGTAAAATTATCAAAATGAGTTCAGAATATGCCAGAGACCACTGCAAAATTGCAGTTGGTAAAATTCTGCAAACATTAGGATGGCATTCCATCAACTCTACCCCACTAGAAGTGCTGACAGATATCATGTCCTCCTACATTCAACAAATCAGCAAACTCACCAATGACTACACCAATGAATTTGGCCAAACAGAAGCTAATCTGGACCATTTGGGGTTGGCTTTTCAAGAGATGGGCATCAATCTGTCTGATCTGGAAGAGTATGTGACTTATGTGAATTTCACCCCTGGGCCTCACCCTGCTCCAAAGTTCCCCATTCCGAAGGAGAACCATCTGAATTTCTTGAAACCTGGCAGTAAGGAGGTGGTCACTAGGCCTGTTCATATTCCTGAGCATTTGCCTCCCATGTTCCCTCTCCTAGAAGGCAAGTGCTTCATTTTTGATACAATTGAATGGTTAATTATGATGTTGATTGGTTAATTATTATCCTCACTGGAATTTCTATGTATTGTGGTAATGAACTTGGTGGAATTTACCAGGCAACAGGGTTAATTGAATTTAAGCCTATTTGAGGATGATATGCATCAGTTAGGGTCACTTGAAACACACCTGTACAAATTTTCATCCTTTTGAAATGTAGTGCAATAATTGAGAAAATTGATCACATATTTTTGAATGATTGAAGAAGTGGAAATGTTTGGGGAGGGGGGGGGGGGATGTAATGATTGATTCTCATATATGTACCTATTTTGATAATTCTGAAATAATTGATGTTCTATAAGGGGTTGAAAAAACTCAAGATTTATGGAAAACGTCATTTTCCAAAAAAATCTGGTCTTTTTATGAGATTTTTTTTTCATTCCATTTTTCTTATAATGAGGCATAATGCTATTTTTAGATTTCATCCACTATTATTCATCAATTCCTGTTGAAAAATGCTCAAGCATGTGAATTCCTTTAGTACAAGAAAACCCTCCCTGTGTTTCAAGTGATTCTAAATAAGAATCTGTCTCAATTTTTGAGTCACTTTTTTTAAATTTGATCCTATAAAAGTAAAAACATGAATCCATCCTAAAAAATAAGTAATTTAATTGTTGAATGAAAATTACATCAAGATTCATACAAAAATATAAAGGTTTTACCTTGGGTTTTACAGGGGTGTGAGTTTCAATACACTATTTAAATTTGATTTGTCTATATTGAAAGAAACTTCAGTATGAGTTCAATGTTCAAATACTTCTCAAATTATTGTACCTAGTGAATATTGAAAAAATGATAATTCTGATACATTTGATTTGATCATGTAATGAGGTGATAAACTTGGTGGAATTAACCTGTCAACAGGGTTGATTAAAACTAAGGCTATTTGAGGATGATATGCATCAGTTAGTCACTTGAAACACACCTGTACATATCAATTTTCATCCTTTTGAAATATAGTGCAAGGGGGGGAGGGGAATCTTATGATTGATTCTCATATATGTACCTATTTTGATTGTTCTGAAATAATTGATGTCCTATATGGGGTTGAAAAAAATCAAGATTTATGGAAAACATCAATAATCTTAATATTTTCCAGTAAAAAATCTCGTTTTTTTTATGTTATTCCATTTTTTCTTATAATAAGACATGATGCTATTTTTAGATTTTATCCACAATTATTCATTTATTCCTGTTGAGAAATGCTCAATCAAGTGATCCTAAATAAGAATCTGTCTTAGTTTTTATGAAATAAAATTCACTTGTTTCAAATTTAATCCTATAAAAGTGAAAACATGAATCCCTCCTTAAAAAAAAGTAATTCAATTGTTGAATGAAAATTACATCAAGATTCATACAAAAATAAAGGTTGTGAGTTCCAATACACTATTTAAATTTAATTTGTCTATATTGAAAGAAACTTCAGTATGAGTTCAATCTTCAAATACTTCTCAAATTATTGTACCTAGTGAATATTGGAAAAATGATAATTCTGATACATTTGTCAATCATTGTGTTGAGGTGATAAACTTGGTGGAATTAACCGGTCAACAGGGTTAATTAAAACTAAGCCCATTTGAGGATGATATGCATGAGTTAGAGTCCTGTACCAATTTTCATCTTCTTGAAATATAGTGCAATTGAGACAATTAGTCTCATATTTTTGAGTGATTAAAGAAGTGGAAATGTTTGGGAAGGGATGGGGGAGGTAATCTAATGATTGATTCTCATATATGTACCTATTGTGATTGTTCTGAAACAATTGATTCCTATATGGGGTTGAAAGAAATCAAGATTTATGGAAAACATCAATAATTTTGATTTTTTCAAAAAAAAATCTCATTTTTTGTTATGTCATTACATTTTTTCTTATAATAAGATATAATGCTATTTTTAGATTTTATCCACAATTATTCATTTATTCCTGTTGAAAAATGCTCAACCCTGCAAATAGTACAAGAAAACCCTCCCTGTGTTTCAAGTGATTCTAAATAAGAATCTGTCCTAGTTTTTATGAAATGAAATTCATTTTTTTTTCAAATTTGATCATATTAAAGTAAAAACATGAAACAATCCTAAAAAATAAATCATTCAATAGTTTCATGAAAATAACATCAAGATTCATACAAAAATAAAGGGTTTACTGGGGTATGAGTTTCAATACACTATTTAAATTTAATTTGTCTGTATTGAACTTCAGTATGACTTTAATTTTCAAATACTTCTCAAATGATTGTACCTAGTGAATATTGCAAAAATGATAATTCTGATACATTTGATTTGAACATGTATACAAACAGGTACACAAAAAGTTTTGGCAGGTGTTCATTATATTATTTCAATTTATTCTTTCCTCTAGGTCTGTGTGTTGGTGGTGGTGGTGGTGGTAAATTTTCAAAATTTTCAAGCATATTTGAAGAAGCAATTGTGGGCAAGAATGAAATTACAGAAAAATGAATAGGAGTACAATACAGAATTATTCATATTTTTCATTGAATATTCAAATTATGGAACTATTTTTGTAACATGAACATTATTTTAGTAATATTTAATTAATTATGATCTAGAGGATAATAGACCCAATCAAATTGATTAAATCAGAATTAATTTCAACAATAAAATATCACTTTATTTTATGTAACACATCATGAGAAGGTTTTTTTAAGTTTACTTTGTTTTTGTGTTTCTCTCCTTTTGTGTTTATTGTTTAAACTATATTGAATATTGGATATTATTTCGAGAAATAAATGTAAAAACTGGATACTTAAGGCAGTCTAATTTCAGTTCATTCCAGTGTCACACAAGTAACCTTTTTTTTTTTGAGGAATTTTGCTTTTAAGAATAATGTTTTCTTCTAAACGTTTGGCATCATTCTAGATTTAGATAATTCATCCACAGGAACAGAAGTCAAAAATGAAGAAATTGACATTGTCAAAGAAGAAATACCAGAAGAACCCACAAATACCACCCCCTTCAAGAAACCAGCTGATGTGGCATCCCCAGAATTTCGTAAACCAAAGAAAGATGATGAAGGTAAATACAGAAAATCTACAGCTCCTAAAGAATCCACAAATACTCAAGCCATAGTTTCTCTCATTCTCTAAAATTTTACTGTCCAGGTTTTCATATTCATAAAATTTTCAACTCATATGACGCTACACATTTATTTAATCTAACATATATTAAATGTGCGAGATGTTCTTCAATCATTGTGTTTATGATTCGCCTTGTTTTGCCTATGTATGTAAATATAATTCAAATTCAGACGGCGGAATAGCGCAGTGGTTGACTATTAATGAAAATATCAAAATATTGCTAGTTTCGAATCTCCGGCAGTGCAAAGAATTTTTATTTTTAAAAAGAGTTATAAATTCTAATTTTCGTAGCCTCTACCGGAGATGATTCCGCACGATTCGCTGTTGCGTTGCAAATAACAGTGCTGCTCCTAAGGTGGCGTATGGAGTTAGTAACAAAGCCTACACAGAACACACATAGAACTTTGCGTTTTTCGCGGCCCGCTGCTACTTTCTAGTGAAACTCGAGATGGCTTAATCAGATTTTGCATAACTGTAGCCGTTTATGAGATACAGGGCGATTTTGAAAATTTATACTTTCTGGAGCCCCTGTATTTTCTGGAGCCCCTGTATATCTACGAAGTTTATCAGCGAAATTGTCAAATTAAAATCTTATTCCATAGAGAATTTTACGGTATCTAATATATCTGGTACCGCTCTACAGTTCTGTTATACATGAAATATATTTTTTTATTGCAATAGACATTTTTTAATATGACTGACATTGTTTTTGACCACTCTATCAGCCCTATCATTTACGACACGCCTTTCCGGACACCCTGTATACCATTTTGAAGGAAAAAAATAAGACATTTAATGAGCCTATACAAAACAGGGTGTTCCATTTGAAAAATCATAAGTTTTAGTCGTATCTCCAAAATCAAACCGTAAAATTCTTCTATAGAATAAAATTTTTTTTGATTTGACATTTTTGTTGAGAAACTTCGTAGATATAGAGGAGGTCCGGAAAGTATAAATTTTCAAAATCGCCCTGTATATCATAAACGGAAACAGTTATACAAAATCTGATTCGGCCATCTTGAGTTTCTCTAAAAAGTGGCAGAGGAGCGAGAAAAGCGCAAGGTTCTATCTCCAAAGATAACTGAGATAAAGTACTTTATACTACTACTAATTTAGATTTGTCGCTATCGCACTATTTTTTTCCTTGTTAATGAAAAATAGATTCAACTGTTGAGTATTTTCGCAATGGAAATTGCTGAATAAGTTGCTTATGGATCAATATTTGAGATTTTTTTCGATAAGTTTATGGTGACATTATTATCTTGAGTTAGATTTAATAACTCTGCAATATAAACTTCTTCTAATTTTCATTTCTGAGCTCTCAAAGTTGCTTCGGCATTTGGATAGTTGTAGATAAAGTATAGTTTCCTACTCGTGAATAATGGCTATTACATAATCAGATGATTATAGCATCCGCCTTTGGCTTGTATTGCGACGTCATCTCCGTGAGTAATACCCATCATTTTGCGCTCATTGCATAATGTACTATAAACTAGGTATTCAGAATTCGTTCTTGAACTTCACGAGAAAATAACAGTCCCAATTGTATTTCAGAAAGCCTGAATTGTATTTCAAAATGCGTCAATTGTATTTCAGAACTCAATTGAATGTCAAAGTGTCATTTGCATTTCAGAAAATATCATTTGATTTTCAAAAAACGTCAATTGAATTTCAGAAAGTGTCAATTATTGTACTTCAGAATAGTCAATTGAATTTCAGAAAGTCTCAACTATTGTACTTCAGAATAGTCAATTGAATTCCAGAAATCGTGTAAACAACATTTGCATTTTCAACAAATGATGATGACAAAAATTGACTTTTTTCTGTCTTTCTGTCTTTCTGTCTTTCTGTCTTTCTGTCTTTCTGTCTTTCTGTCTTTCTGTCTTTCTGTCTTTCTGTCTTTCTGTCTTTCTGTCTTTCTGTCTTTCTGTCTTTCTGTCTTTCTGTCTTTCTGTCTTTCTGTCTTTCTGTCTTTCTGTCTTTCTGTCTTTCTGTCTTTCTGTCTTTCTGTCTTTCTGTCTTTCTGTCTTTCTGTCTTTCTGTCTTTCTGTCTTTCTGTCTTTCTGTCTTTCTGTCTTTCTGTCTTTCTGTCTTTCTGTCTTTCTGTCTTTCTGTCTTTCTGTCTTTCTGTCTTTCTGTCTTTCTGTCTTTCTGTCTTTCTGTCTTTCTGTCTTTCTGTCTTTCTGTCTTTCTGTCTTTCTGTCTTTCTGTCTTTCTGTCTTTCTGTCTTTCTGTCTTTCTGTCTTTCTGTCTTTCTGTCTTTCTGTCTTTCTGTCTTTCTGTCTTTCTGTCTTTCTGTCTTTCTGTCTTTCTGTCTTTCTGTCTTTCTGTCTTTCTGTCTTTCTGTCTTTCTGTCTTTCTGTCTTTCTGTCTTTCTGTCTTTCTGTCTTTCTGTCTTTCTGTCTTTCTGTCTTTCTGTCTTTCTGTCTTTCTGTCTTTCTGTCTTTCTGTCTTTCTGTCTTTCTGTCTTTCTGTCTTTCTGTCTTTCTGTCTTTCTGTCTTTCTGTCTTTCTGTCTTTCTGTCTTTCTGTCTTTCTGTCTTTCTGTCTTTCTGTCTTTCTGTCTTCCTGTCTTTCTGTCTTTCTGTCTTTCTGTCTTTCTGTCTTTCTGTCTTTCTGTCTTTCTGTCTTTCTGTCTTTCTGTCTTTCTGTCTTTCTGTCTTTCTGTCTTTCTGTCTTTCTGTCTTTCTGTCTTTCTGTCTTTCTGTCTTTCTGTCTTTCTGTCGTTCTGTCGTTCTGTCTTTCTGCCTTTCTGCCTTTCTGCCTTTCTGTCTTTCTGCCTTTCTGTCTTTCTGTCTTCCTCTCTTTCTCTCTTTCTCTCTTTCTCTCTTTCTGTCTTTCTGTCTTTCTGCCTTTCTGTCTTTCTGTCTTTCTGTCTTTCTGTCTTCCTGCCTTTTTGTCTGTCTATCTGTTTTTCTGTCTTCCTATCTATCTACCTATCTATCAATGTATCTATTCTCCAGGCAGCCGGCCGACCCGCGAGATCAGCAGCGTCATGATGACCACGTCGGGCTTTCTGTCGCCGGCCAGGGAGGGCAAGCTGCCCGAGGCGAAGGCGCCCTTGCCACCCCCGCCGCCTCCGCCGCCCCCCGCCCCGGAGCCGCCCCCGGTAGTAGAGCCGCCCGCGCTGGGGACCGCCCCGGCCGCACCGCCCAAGAAAAAGGCCGAGCGGCGGAAGGAGAAGCTCAGCAAGGAGCTGTTCAAGGTATGGGGATGAACGGGGAAGTTTCCTTCCGATGAATTTTTCATGAAATGAGTTCGGAATTCCTTAGTTTCATGTCCACGCTGTACAGGATGGCGATCGATAAAGCAATTTCTAATTTTCGGGGCGACAAACTGTGACTTACGTCCTGAATATAGCTGATGATGAAGAATATAGGTAGCGAATAGCTAACGAATAAAAAAATATAAGATATTTTTGAAAATTATTCATAATACTGGATGAAGTAGGATTAAAAATTTCATCTTTGTTGCCAAGTCATAAAAAGTCACTTTTCATAAATTGCTTTTTTACCACGTGAGTATTTTTTCCCGGATATATATCACATATACACTGTTGATGGCTTTTGTTATGCCATATTTCCGAAAAATATGCCAATAAAATCGTCTCCGAGAAAGAACTGCAAGACCTTTTATCTTCCATTCGACTTCACGGTCATGTATATTAGTAAACAACTACTAAATTAGCAATTTTTCAAAATCAAATCATAGAATTAGAATACCAGATATTTGATCACTTCAGAAGAATCATGAAGATGCCTGCAAGGCAGGTGTAATTACTGATTAAAACATCAAATTTCACGTCGATATTTTTTTTATTTTAATATGATGTAATATCGTCTCAATAATTATTGGTCCTTTTTTTCTGTCACAGAAAAAAACAGTGTATCATACACGGGAAATATATTAGATTTTAGCTCACGGTCTATTGTCAACACACAACAACACAACCTGGATCTGAAATCTACCACTTTTTTCCCTTGTATAATAAATAACTATATATCCCATTGCTTTTTTGATATAGTTATAACGCATTGAAAGAATATATTCTGGAAATTGAGACAGATTGCAGAAACTCTGTAACTTGTTCAGTTTGCAGAAATCAAAATAAACCATGTTGTATCAATTGCAAAATTGCTATTCAAAAATTCGAATGGAATGTTGATCAATAATTTGAAAATCGAAATTTAATGTCATTTCCAGGAACACCGAAAAAAAATTACTGAAATGTGAGAAAGTGCCCTCTAGTGAGCATATTCGATGTCCCAATTTTCGGAAATATAACTAGAAAACCAAAAGAGAAAAGGGAGATATACCATGAATCTTCATCACCCGATATAGTTCCTTAGTATCCGTATTTTTCAAAAAACAAATGAATATCACTTCCGGTTTTACTGGAAATAAACGTAGGTCGAACATTTTGATTGGAACCCTGTAGATATTTCCATGCCATACGATAAAGTAAACCAATTTCCACTTCCTAAGTGAACATTTGTTATCAAAATGGCGGCGAAGAAGACATTTTTTTAAATCAATATTACGACACTATAACATCATTGATTTAACTTTCTTCTAAACTCCTTCCAGCGTAAAATCGGGTTTTCGAAATTGCCTCAATTCCGAGAATCGTTTATTTACTTTAGTTGTATCACAAAATGAATGTAAATGATTAATATGATGGAGTTATCAAGTTTCAAGAAAAAATTGAAGAAAAAAGCTGGGACGATATATCTGTCTTTATGTGTCAGCAGTATTCTCTAGGTGATTGAGCTCCAATATATTTTGTTAGCACCCAATAATTATCTTTTTAAAAATAACCATGATCAACATCAGTCTGATACAAAGTAGTCCGATATGCTACTCATAGTTCCAAGTAACTAGAGGAGCTAAAAACCAAAGTTGAATCTGCCAATATGTTCATTCAAGCCATTGCCAGAAGACAAACCAGTTAAGAAACCCGCCTCGATGAAGGACCCGACGAGACCGAAAAAACACACCCTCCCCCCGTCAGTATCGCTGTCCCCCATCCCCCTACTGGTCCCCCCGAATGCCCCCAACCGCTTGGGAGAGATGAAGGTCCGAGCCATGCCGCTGCCGAAAATGATGAGAGATAACCTCATGGACAAGGCCCTCGCAGCAGCCAAGGCCAAAACGGAGAAGCTTAATACCACCATCACGCCCATTCCGATGAGGTTCCAGAGCCCTGGCAATCAGGTGGTCCAGTTGCCCGTGGAAAAGTTGTTCAATGAGCCGGATAGGAAGAAGATTAATATTTTGAGAAAGATATCTAGTGTTAAGGAAGGTATGTACGATAGTGATGCCCCACGTTGGGCGCCATAAACTTTCAGACAACAATAATTTCGTGTTTTGTAAGGAAATTGGGGTTTTGATCTTTCTTTGGGCCTGAAAAAAGTTTTGTCGTTACTCTTGTAAACGCTAGGAAGTGTAACAGAGTCATCGGTTTTGCTACTAAAAATAAGAGTTGACGTGGTCCAGTTGCCCTGGGAAAAGCTCTTCAATGAGTCGGATAGGAAGAAAATCAATATTTTGAGGAAGATATTCAAGTAATGTTTAGTAGAAGCTCCCCACTTTGGGCGCCAAAACCTTTACAACAAAATTTGTCTGTTCTGTGAGACATTTGGAGGTTTTGATTTCTGGTTGAGCGGCAAAACAGTGTTACTGGCTCTGTTGTAGGTGATAAGGAGTTCAAGAAAGTCATCGACTTCATTAAATACTTTGCTACTAAAAAAATGCAATGTTGCCGATCAATCAAAAATATTTTGAATATGTAGTTTGGTAAGAGCGTACATATTTGAAAATATTTGTCTTCTATATTGTTAAAAGTAACAATAGGAGACCGAACATCCCTCGAAATCCTAAAATCCTACCGAATGCGTCATGTATATACCACATATTCTGCTTTCACAGCGTATAAAATTTAGAGCAAAGAAAAAATGATACAAAGCACATTGCTCAAATATCGCTTCTTACATTGTGCCAATATAAACTGCACCATCCTTGTATTTTTCATATTCTTTGACCGATTTCAAATTTAATTTTCCCATATATTCACATTCCTGACACAGCAAAGCCAACTATTATCAATTGAGTAAAAATGATATCGTCTGTATGTTGACAAACCTCTAGAACACACATCTTCGAACTTTTACAATGATGTCATATACAATCGATCTTCGTTGAGAATTATATATTTTTCTGCGCCAAGAATAATTCAGAAAGATTCTTTTGTATAGTCTTCATATACAAGGTGTTGTTTTTGTATGTCGATAATGATTGTTTACATTCCTAACAATCATGTTGGCCGTGCGATACTGCTCATATTTAAAAAAAATACAATATACAGGTAAGAAGAAAGAATCTAGAGCCGGAACTCCTAGCCTAGTGATCGAGGAACCGTCACCGTCCGACATCGTCACCAAAATAAGCATGTCCAGCGACATCACCATCGAACCCATAATGTTCTCGAGAAGTCCCGACAAAATCGACGGTTACTTCGACAATGGCTCCCCACCTGGTACTCCGCCTACCCCTAGGACCCCGGAAATCGTCACTCACAGCCCACCGATACAAAAAGAAAAGCGGAAACGCAAAGAACCCAAAAACAAACCCAAACGGCCCAGAAAACAGCGCCCCTTCCTCACCGAGTCCGAGCTAGTGGACATAATCATGGACAGACCCAAAACCCCCGACGCTCACCATCTAAGCCAGATGCGGGGGCAGCTGCCTCCCCACATGGGCATGCCCCCCATGCCTTCCCACCACGTTCCTTTCCCCTTTCTGGCCCACTTCGGCGGCCCTGGGCTGATCCCTCCGCAGCTCAGCACGCCTCTATTCCCCTTCGCCCACCTCGGAGGACTTCCCAACTTCGGCAAAAACCCCTACTTCAACCCCGTCATGTCCAACATGCCCCAACAAGTCGAGCCTATGCCGTTGCTGTCTCCGAAAGTGAAGGACCTGCCCCCTGTGGAGGTTAAGCCTGTGGACACACCTAAACCACCTGTGCGACCGCCTTTGGACACGCCTCCTAAGGCGGTGGACACGCCTCCTAAGGCCATCGACACGCCCCCTAAGCCGGCTTTGCCCAGCCCACCTGTGGCTGTCGTCCAGCCCATTCAAGTGGCGGAGGCTAGTTCCAGTACCGGAAGCGGCCCTGTGAGTTGCAAGACTCCGGACATTGTCGAGATCGGGCCGAAGAAGTTGAAAGAGCACAAGAAAGAGAAGAAAGACAAGAAGAAGAATAAGAAGGACAAGGTGAAGGAGAAAGGCGAGAAGAAGACGAAGAAGGAGATGAAGAAGGATGCGAAGGTATGTATTTTTTTGGCATCTCTGTTGGCAGGTTATAAAATGTCACGTCTCATGAATTACTTTTTTCCCGTGGGATATATCACATATATATTTTTTTTTTTTTTTTTATCGCTTGGAGCGCACGAGAGGGAATCCCTATAATGATGGCTTTTGTTGTGCTATATTTCCGAAAAATGAGTCAATAATACCGTCTCCGAGAATGAACTGCAAGTCCTTTTATCTTCCATTCGACTTCGCGGTTATGTATATTACTAAACAACCACTAAATTTTTTGAAATCAAATCACAAAATTAGACTTTGATTCCTTTAAGAGAATGATGAAGATGCCTACAACGCAGGTGTCCCTACTGTTAAAAACTTGAAATTTCACGTCGAAAATTTTTAGATTTCACAATAATGTAATATCTTCTCAATATGGATTCATCCTTTCTTCTGACACAGAAAAAACGGGCAACACAACCTGCAGCTAAAATCTACAACTTTTTTCCCTTGTATAATAAATAATCATTGCTCTCAGAGAGATTGGACTGTACTAAACAGTCTGATATTGCTCAAAAGCAATTATGTCCGATGCGGTGATATTTCATTAATTTTTGTAGTTGAATTCGGTTCTGCAGTATTAAATGGTGCTGCATCTTGAACAGTATAGAAGTTTATGATGTTCATTCAACAGCATTATTGGATCATTCTTAATTGACATTATTGGTTGTACTAATGCTCTAAAATGTTATATGAGTATTGAACGGTCTGATGAAATGGATACGTCAGTCTCTGCAGTCAAAATCTTTAAAATTAACTAAGTGCTAACCCACATTTTAACATTATCTGATTGGTACTGAAATATTTTACAGCTTCCATGGATTTGACAGTATAACACAGTATTTGAGAATTTATATTGAAGGATCCTTATTAACATATTGAAGGATCCTCATCAACAGTATTAAATAATCCTAAACAGAGAATATTGGTTGTATTGTTGCCCTGAAATTGTATAATGGTATTGAAAGGTCTGATGGAATGGATGTCTCGGTCTCTGCAATCAAAATCTTTCAAATTAAATAGTGCTTCACCACATTTCAACATTACTTATTTGTTACTGAAATATTTGACAGCTTTAATGGATTATTCAACCATATAAAATCGTATTTATGAATCTTTATGAAGTAGCCTCATCTACAATATTTAGAGAACTGCAATTCAATGAATAATTCTCAAACTAGACATTTTGTGTAAACCGCCTATGCGAAATGATACTGAAAATACACTAATGTAGACTTATGAACAGATGTATTAGGACGATTCATCAATCATTACAACAATTTCAGTTTCATATACCCAAATGGATGATCATTTTATGGCTACATGGCAAAAATGAAAGACAAATAGTTTCTTCACAAGTAACCAAATGAAAAAAATGAGTTTCTATATTAGTTTTCTCAATATCGTAAGTTATTTTCGGATAATTTTTTTAAACTCAATGAAATTATTGGCAATCTTCTGGGACCGATAAGGGTATGGAAAATCTTTTTGAGAATATCGTCGAAGTAATGATCTTTGGATTCCTGAGTCTATCAAGCATCGAAATGTCATTGTATTCAGGCCACAGTCAACTTCATGTAGAGCCATTTGATAAAAGAATATCAAATTGTGATACATAGTTGAATAGAAAATTTGAAGGCGAATAAGATAGGCTACAAAAATATACAGTGCCATTAGAAAAAAAAAGTTAGGTTGGTAGTTCCAATCAAACTGGTGGTTGAAGAAAATTGTCATTGGGTTCAAGGAAAGCACCATCATCGATTATATAACCGTTGTGAATTTCATATTTTTATATCTTCAAATAAAAAAACTACAGGCTATTACATCTCTCCTGTGTCACCCGGTATATAATATGATTTCTATGGATTATCCATGTCTATAAATTTTCGGTTCCCCAGATACTTCTAATATACGATCCACCGTGTTAAACCGTTACCACCGATAAAACAAGGCCAGCAGACTCTGACGTAAACAGCTCGTGACGTCGCATACTCAGGCCATCTTCCAAGGCATTCGCGTCGATCGATCGTCAGTTTGTTTTTGTTTAAGAACGGTGGCGTAGGTAAATCGCGTGTGCTCGAATTCTCTTGTTGTTTATTCATCAAAATAATTGGCGGAGAAATTACTGTTTTGTAAAATATTTCGTGTTGTGATAGGCGAAATAACAATGCCTTACAAGTGTTGTGTTCCCTTTTGTCGGGGGAATTATGTGGGTGGTCCAAAAGTTCATGCTTTTAGTTTCCCGTTGGACAAGGAACTATCGAAAAAGTGGGTACATGTAATTCACCGCAAGGATTTTACGACTCCATCTAAGTACAGTAAAGTATGTGAATTACATTTGTAAAGGTTCTGAGCAATCAGATGCGAATATCCAGGTCCAAACAGTTTATTTCCAAGATAAGTTCGAGTTCTAAAATTTACATAAACATAATACCTTCATACAGAAAATGGGCAAATCCCACATACCTAAATCAGGGACACTTCCTCACCCAGTAATACTGAATTGGGAGATTCCCCCAGGGATTCAAAATCTCGCACACAAATCTTCGAAACGTTGATATCACAAATTTCCTTATTGATATCTCTATTTATACGTTTACCTGACAACTAGGCTTTGTTTCCCCAAATCACATTTAAAGCATGTTCCTGAATTCCTGAATTCTGTTACACATTTTACTAAAGATGATATTATTACTTCATCTACTGCAACCGATTCAAAAACTGGCAAAACTGTAACAATAGATTTGAAAATTCCTAGGCTCAAACGAGATGTTATTCCCACTCAATTTCCCAACTGTCCATCTTATTTATCGAAAGATGTAAAATTACGCACAAGTCGTGATGAAAAACTTGAGATACTAGAGACTAAAAATTTGGCACAAGCACTTACCAAAAGTAAAACTGAATTCGAAAATTACCAAAAATCATTTTGCTACACAAAATTTCAAGAATTTCTAGTTGTATTAGAGTCTTTTCAGTTGCCCGAAAAGTGGTTCAAAATTATCGATTTGCAAAAAGTCACATTATTCAAATTGTCTTATTCTCCAGGGCCCGTAATGACATATTCGGTTGTGATTGATTTTGTTTTGAATGTGGAATCATTTTTGTATGACCTAGCGATAGAAACATCTCTAAAAGCCAATCTGAAAACACCTTTTATCTCTAATAATATCAATCAAATCAAGGAATTACTAATTGAAATAGATAAAAACGAGATACATAATTCGGGAAAATGTCTTGATAATCAGAAAAAGAGCGTTTTGAAACATATTTCGAATGCATTGGACTCTTTGGTTTCTGACTCAATACATTCTCAAATTTCTTTCTGAAAACGGTCATTTGCCTCGTGGCAATGAATGCAGAATTCATTTCAATGATCAAATTGCAACTATTATATTAACATGTACTACAAAAACTCTACTTGAAAATTACTGTTTCAAGTCTAACGACCAATTGGGTAAAAAAATCCAACAACAGGAAATTGAAAACACTCACTGGCTAATTTTTTAGGTAATAGGAATTCTCCAAGATAAATATAGGTAATTAGGTATAACAAACGGCATGTCTATCAAACTAAAATACATTTTCCCCAATTTTCTTATGATCAATCTCATGATAAGTTTATGTTCTGCGGGCCCTGTATAAGTAGGTGTGAAGTTTACCTCTAATGAGATTGAATCACTACAATTTTTGCCAATATATTTAATTCGAATGGGTTGCTGTAGGTGGGTATTTGTGTTTTATTCTGGTTTTTGCTTTGAAACTTCGTTTTTCCATAATAAAATCGAATGGGATGCGAAGAAGGGCTCAGTTGACGGCTGGCATCCTCTTTCAACCGGAAGCCCTTAAAAAAAAAGCAAAATCGGCTCAATAATGATCTAAAACTAAAATCGAAATACGCGGTCGCCTTATAGCGCTATAAGCGCTTGTCGTTTCGAGCCGCTGGTTAGGCCTGACTAAGTGACGTCACCCACGGAGCATGCAGGCCTTGTTTTATCGGTGGTAACGGTTAAACACCTTGTACCCCATTCGCTCTCCCCAGGAACTGAAGGACAAACTGAAAAAAGAGAAGAAGATCAAGAAGAAGGACAAACTGCTCGAGAAGGAGCACCTGGCCACCACCACCACCGCCGCCGACAACCCCGCCATCCCGAAGATCCTGCTCAAGGTCAACTCGCCGTCGCCGCGGCCCGGCACGCCCGAGGCGGCGCGCAAGCTGACCATCAAGCCGGTGGTGAAGAGGGACGATCCGCCCCCCGGACCGCCCGTCGCGCAGCTGCCCGTCCCCGAGGCGGAGGAGCGGAGACGGGAACCGTCGCCGGGCGGGCTGGCGAAGATCGCGGCGCTGGTGACGGGGCCGCCCAAGCCGCGGGCGGGAGTGTCTCCGGTGCCGCCCGCTGTGGAGAAGGTCAGTGTGGGGGCAGGGTGGGCATCTTGTAACACTAGCTGTTACTTTATTATTCGAGCTGGGGCGTGGGGTTGGTAATTGGTTTTTGGTTTGATCGGTCTGAAGCTGAATATGGGCGCCACCTAGTTTTGAATTTTAATGGAAACAAAACAGGAAACAAACCACTTGACCATTACAGTAGAGAGAAAGAAAAGATAACGTGATTCAGCTTCAGAGTGTGACACAATAAAAGAGAATGATCAATTTTTTCCACAAATATATTGAATCTTCCAAATCTTTTTACCTAACAAGTTCAGCTTATCAAATGAAATTACAAGCTCAGCACTGTCGTGCTGTTATATGAAAACAATCAGATGAAAATGATTACTCAACTATCAACTTGAAAATGAGAACTGGTACAATTGAATTGAAAATATATATATATTAGCTGAATATTAAATGAAAGCTCAATCAAAACAGGACAAGTAAGTATATAATAATGCAAAAAACTTAAGGTTTGAAAGTTGTTTAAGTAACCCTAACAGACAACGTGGCTTGCTAAGGATGGATGTTACCAGCTGTATCGGAGTATAAGGCAAGTCTCGAGAGTGGAACTGTCTGCTGCCACTGCTGTATACTTTGGTGTCGAAGCTTCCAGTGTAAGGTTCTTCGTTTGGAGATACGAAGATGTCTGGGTAGGGTCTCTGGAAGAACCTTGAGCTTGACTGCGTAGTAGCCGATCGAAGTTCAGCTTGTCCTCTCGATAATTATTGATGGGCAGAGATAGGCTTCAGTTCCCACTTCTCAGACAGTCAGACTCCCAATGCATGGAAAACAATCAGATGTATAAGCCATTTGTGTAAACAATATTGAATGGGTAAAAAGGCACCTTTCAGAGCCCTAATAGGCTACTTAAACGTGGGAAAAAAATATATATATCAAAGAAGAAATATGTATAAAAGAAAACAAAATAGAATCACTATTCCAGTAATCAACCCCTTGGATTTTACTGATGCTGAAGGTAAAATTTGAAATACCTTTTGATTAACCCCTGTAACTCGATTTGGTATTAGCAGATTGTCTGTTATTTTCAGCCCAATATCAAATTATATTCCCCCTAATTATTTTAGGCAAGAAACCCCCCAGTAAGTTAAATTATTAAAATAAATCTCGATATTTTGGTACTACCCCGGTATAATATGAATATGGTAGAAGATAGAGAGAGTAGAAAAGTTTGTAGAAAAGGTCAATAGGAAAGATGTAGAGACAGATTGCTCGATTGCTGCTCGATCCCCAAGGTTCCTGTGATGGCATCCACCTTGAATCGTGCATGAATCGTACCTCCGTGATTTTACTCTTGATTTTATTCTAGACTTCCCAGATTCCACTGATGTGCTCAACGACTCCTTGGTTATCTTCGAATCTTCAATTATCGCTGAAAGCAAGAAAATACGGCGAAAGAAAGGTCGATAATATCACTGAAATAATTCTGAACTAGGTCTAATCAGCACAGCATAAATGATGTTTCCGATAAATACGATTTAGCAATCGATCAACTTTCCCACGCCATTTTGTGTAACTCACGTGGAACCCACAAAAGGAAAATCTACGTATTATTTAATTCAGGTTTAAACTGAGTTTCTAGATATTACTATACCAGAAATAAAAGCCACAAGAGCAAACAATAATGGAACGAACTCACCATTTATCGCAAAATCTCACCACTCAACCCAGTGTCTTGTTTTGTCGATCTGCCACCTGCAAACGGGAGTGAAGCGGAAACCAGACTAACCAGTATTCTCGTTCTCTCGCGCAATTCGATTCCGATTTCAGTCGTCATGTCGCATGGCTCGCTGGCTGCGAAATATTTGATGTCTGACCATGGTTGGTCCGAAAGTACTCAAGTCAAATTATCTAACTATTCACAACGCAGTACAAAGTACTCGTTACAATCTCGTCAACTTTTTTGATTCTGTTCACTGCCACCGATGAAATGGAGTAAATGGACAATATTGGACGATTCATTATTCCAGATTTTTTGGGATTTTCTCTCCTCGTTTCTATAAAATGAAAATATGAATATTATTTCAATATACGTGTAGTAAGGAAAAATCAGATGATTTGCCCCAAAATGTCACTCCATTTAACACATTGACGGACGTGACTGCAATTGCAGACACATATGTAGGGACAGGACTGCAATTGCAGTCGATTTTTGTACCATACAAAAGCACACGTCTGGTGTTGCAGTCGCAACGCCCATAAGGAATACATGAAAGGCAACACCGAGTGTCCCTCTATGTCGACTTAGTTTTCAGGAAAATGTCACATAATGGTGGTTATCTTTTTTTGAAAACACTGTACTTCCACCACCATCCTCCTCACCTGGAGCGTCCCGTCTGCAAAAGCAGTCAGTCGCCTCATAACATTTGTATAGTGTGGTCGTTTGCTATGTGTATGAAATAATTTTCTGTCTGAGCACGTTTTACTTTACAATTTCCGAAAGAACGGTAAGTACAATTAGTCATTTACTCATTGGTTTATCTCACAACCAAAACAAAAATGAACTTCCTCACTTTTCGAGATGCCGTCATAAAGGACCTCCTTGGAATTGTACCTGATATGAAAGGTGGACGAGAACTTGTCAAAGGTGGGTCAATGAATAATCCTAAAGCAAGTTCAGAAACAACGCTTCCTGGACCTCAACTTGGTTTGCAACATGTTTTGGAAAAAAAACCATTGCCTTCCGGTTACAACAGAAAAAGTTACTTTTTGAGATGTCGCCAGTGTTCAAAAAATGGTAAAAGAGGACAGACATCATGGCGCTGTTCTGGATGCGATGATAAGCCACTTCTATGTACTGTAACATGTTTCGCAAGTTTTCACCTATAGGCGATTCATGCTAAGGAGTACTCCCTCTGCCGTTGTCTAATATAACTAACGTATGGGCCATTGATTGCTTTGTTTACATTAGTTTGCGTGTATTTTGTATGAGAAGTAGTTGTGTTTTAATTGTCTATAATTTTGTTTGAGAACTTCTATAAACGTTTAAAAACATGAGTCATCATTGTTGTGTACCTCATTGTTCATCTTGAGCAAAAAAATCCCGAGATAGCTTTCATTCCTCTCAAAAATCAGGACAGTCTAATTTTGTATTTGAAACTAATAATTTGGGAAACAAGGAAGTGGTCGGTAGGAGAAAGGTGTGGATTCATAACTTGAAGATTGGAAAAAGTGTAAAGTGTCTGTACATAATGAGATATTGTTCTTTACACTTCACTGAAAATTTACTCATACCTATAGGTATATTTTCAAATGTATATGTCTATTATGAATAAAATACCTACTTCTTGAGGTGGTGGTAAAAGAACAAACAAATTTCAAACTGATTATATCTTTACTCATGAACAGTAGAATTTTTGAACAGTTAAAGAATGTTATCAAGCAGGGTTTCAATGATTATGTTGTAAAAAGTCAAGTAGAAACTGTTTACCTAAATTCACCTTCCAAAGAACACTTTATTCCCAAAAAGTTTGCTGGATTTTGTTTTAAAAATATCATGCACTATCAGGGGAATGTCCCAGCTATATATTCGAATTGGAAATCAACATCCCACACAGGTTTTCATGAGAATTATTGTTCAATAATGATAAAAACTTACAGCCTATGCATGTTGGTATATATGAAGTTCAACTAGAGGTAGGGAGGTTATCTAATGTTGAACAGAGATAATATAGTCCTCAATCAAAACACAGTAGACCGCTGGAAAATACAAAGTTCGAAAATAGACAAATAATAAAGCTGGACGTTTGAAAACTCAAAACGAAATGAACATAAACACCATTACCAAACAATGTAAACAATCCGCCAATGGCCCATAGAGTAGTACCGACATTCGCCGTTCTGGCGCTACGATCTTAATCTCAGTCGCCTATAGATGTTTTTCATATCGTTTTGTCTCATAATATGATATTTTTAAGTTGTTTTGTTGTCGTTTCTTTATTTTTTTAGAGAATTAACCTGTGTTCGTTTTTTGAAATATTCGTAAATTAAAGTTCATGAATAAGGATGTTCTTTCTTTATTTAGGAAACATCTTCACCATTATACATGTCTGCAATAGCAGTTGTGTATCCCTATAAAAATAAAGAAATTTTGTATAGGGACATGTCTGTAATGGCAGACACCTGTTTTTTTTTTGCGAAAAATACAGAATCACTTGTCTAAATGCTGATAAGTACTAATTTTTGCCATAAAACATTTCAAGAAAAAAATAAGTGACGTTTTGGGTAGATTATAAATGAACGAAGTGTCCGCGAATGTGTTGAAGAATTTTCCTATCAGAGAGCCTAAAAGAAAAATTCACTAGCTTGTCAGTGACAATTTGTATTGAGAAAGGTTTGGAGAAGAGAAATAAAGGTATATCGAAAAAATATCGAATTTTCACTTAGCTTTGGACGTTTCGGGAACGAATCTGTTCCCGTTTTCAACATGAAAAATGGTTATTTGAATAGCAAATTCATATCTGTCTTGAAACTTTTCAGTTCTCAGAAAGGAACCATAAGTCTCTCAAAATGTATGCACTCCCAGTTCTCAATTTCAGTTCATCAAGCATTCAAAAATTTTGTTTTTGTATATTCTTGATACTCTTCACAGCACTTAATTGTTTTATTCAACATTTTTATTTTTTCATGAATGGCAATGAATAAACAGAACTTTCGATGATTTTCTCCACACTAACATTAATATGTCCGGGTCGGACAAATTGTCCAATTTTTCCATAGGGGACGAAATCAAATCTACCCTGCGAATTAGTATTCTTTGAGTTTTTGAAAATAATGTGGGCAAGTTTTTGGAAAAAACATTGGACTTACCCAAAATCTTGTTTTACAGCTTTCACGACATATCTCATATGTAATACGAATTTCCTTAGCTGAATTCCATTGAATTTTCCCAAAACACTTCTAATGAAACACGAAAACAAGACACAAATATAGGAAAAATACACAATGCTCAAAGTCATATCCACACAATATTCATAAAATGAACAACAATGGTAGATTTCGGGAGAAAAACAACTACTTTCCTGGCTAATGCCACGCAGAACATTGAATTACATCCTCCCGAAATCAATGCATCGACTCGTATAAACAAATACTGATACAAGTGAATCTTTCCTGAATGCCTATTAATTCCGATTCAGCCAGGCCACGCTAGACACCTACAGACCGGTTTCGAGCTCTTTGACTCTTATCAGTGCCGAACCTGCAAATTAACCTCTAGATTTTCAGAGTATGATGAAATCAATATGTTATTGAACAGGTTGAACCTGAATCGTCTGCTGCACCTGCTCCTACTACCCCCAAAACTCCTAGTAGAGCGAAAGCGATCCCTGCAAAGCCTAAATCCACCCCAAAAGCAAAGAAAATTGAGCAAGTTTTCAAAAAAATGGACGAGCAGGTGAGTGTCTTGTGAAAATGTATTGTTTTTTTCTAAACCACCTTTGATGAAAATTCGAAATTAAGGACCTATCCATTTACACGACTCTGTTTCCAAAAAATACCTCGAATTAAATAGTGCTTCACCAAATTTTAACATTACTCGGTTGGTACTGGTATAATTGACAGATTTGACGGATCATTCAACAGTATTAAACAATATTTAAGAATCTTCATTGAAGGATCCACATCTACAATATTGAAGGATCCTTCTTTTTAACAGTATTTAAGGATATCATCAACAGTATCGAAATTTCCTTATCAACAGTATTGAAGGGGCTGAAGCCTCGGTATATAATCTTGGTCCCTGGGGACCCTGGGTAATAACGATATTCTTTCCTACCTTGATGTATAAATAACTATTCTTCTACCCAGGGCAACGAGGTGTGGATATGCCCGGCATGTGGGCAACAGGACGACGGGCGGCCGATGATCGGCTGCGACGGGTGCGACGCGTGGTACCATTGGGTGTGCGTCGGCATCCAGGTACCGCCCGACGAGAACGAGAACTGGTACTGCAAGCCGTGCCTATGTAGAAAAAACGAGCAGGTGCAGGGCCAAGATAAGAGGAACAAGAAGCGGAAACGGAAGGAGAAAAAGGACCATTAAGGTAATATACTCGATGTTCGCTCTAACTGCTTGTTGATACCTGTGAAATCTTTAGCGTCACTGCGGCTCTGTATCTTTTGTGAAGAACTTGACAGTCTGAAGGTTCGATTTGAATAGATCCGGCTCGAAGGACCAATATGTTTGAGGATTTCTAGATGCGTTTGTCCTCCTTTTATTGATTTTATTGATAAATATTTTGTCTTCAATAACACACCTTCATGTTGACAACAAATGAAAATATCTCGAACTGTATAGGGTCATACAAGTACTAAACACTCGACGAAATTTGGAAATGAAATATGGCGCACAGCTTATATCATAACAAAAACGATATCAACATGAAAGGTACACTCCGGCTCTATGAGGACGGAAAGAGGAGGATGGAAAGTGTCGACGTAGGGTGAACGTCTCAAGATTTTTAGTAAGGCTAGATTCGTAAATGTTGATTTGAGTATGATCGGGTGCGACGCGTGGTACCACTGAGAGTGAAGATAAGAGGAACAAGAAAAGAAAGTGCAAAGAGAAGAGGGACCATTGAGATAATAGAGGTAGTAGGCTTGTGCGTTTCTCACTCAAGGTTCGCTCGAACTGCTTGTTGGTACCTGTGATAGCTCCAGCTGCTTGGGATTCACTGTTACTTTAGGTAGTCTTGAGTGCTACTTTGTCTCATTTGTGAAAAACTTGACAGTCGTGAAGGTTTGATTTGAATAGATCCGGCTCAAAGGACCAATATGTTCGATGCTTCGTAGATAGTGGACTGTCTTTATTTATTGATTTCATTGGAAAATCTTCATGAATATCTCTGTTACTGTATGGGTTAATACGAGTACCAAATTATTATATAGGGTTATACAAGTACTAAACACTCGAGGAAGTTTGGAAATGAGAACGGGACACTTTGACATCGTTCATCTGTTACTTGAAATTATCGAAATGAGTGGTATTCTTCGGCTGAAATTCTCGCGATTTTTAGTAAGGTTTTGGTTCGTACTAAGATCTTATGACGTACGACATTTTAATTGGTAAACCACACTACAGCTCAATTTCATAGAACCAATATTAGAAGATATAGTCTTCTGTCGATATTCATAACATGAGCAAATATGTCGAACCAAATGTCAAAACATTGGATTTTAAAAAATTGGATTTTTTTGCCACCGTTACTTATCATTGTTAATTAGGAATTTGTTTTGTAATTAAGTTTTTTTGTCATTTTTTAGGAACAGTTCAACTTCTTGCAACTGCTTGATTGGCGAAAGCTTGTCTGGTAAGAAAGAGCGGCATTTGTTTAGAAATTTTATTTTCTCAATTATTATTGAATTTTTTGTTTAATAGACAAAATGTGGAGACAAGTGAAAATTAACTAGATCTATAATAACTACTATAATTTTTAAAAATGACATTGTGTGTGACAGTGACAAACAGGAATTATGCAGCAGCAATGAAAAACTCTTTAGTTTTTCTTAATAATTAATTTTTTGTAAAATATTGAAAAATGTTCTGGGAAGTCAATGATAGATTTTTCCCATGGGCTTATTTACTTCCTGTGGGTCACTCTTTAATTTTGAAGTTGATTCAGATTTATGCATCCTAGGGATATGTTAATTTAAGTATGGCAATAATGAATGCACAGTGTGTCCAGTTCTTTTGCGCGATATCTCAGTTATCTTTGGACATAGAGTGTTGCGGTTTTCACATTATCTTCCTACTTTTTTGTGAAACGAATAATGCCGCGAACAGAATTTTCATAATCCTTTATGTTTCTGAGATACAGGGCGAAGTTGAAAATTCCTACTTTTACTTACTAAAGGTATCTCAGTTATCGCGCAAAAGCATCGAAATCTGGACAAACAATTCTGAGAATACTATGGAAAATCTATGGAAAATCATAAAAATGATTCCATATGTCATTTTTTACCTCTAGAGAATCTAATCTTCCATTTGCGAAGGGTAATCCGCGGTGGAATTCTGGTGTAGAAACAGCTGGAATTTCTTGAAATGCCCTGGAATTCCTGGGATTTCCTTGTAATTCCATGGAATTCCTTGGGTGAAGTGCGGTATACAACTGGAATGAGCTTATATCACAAAAAAAAATGTATTTCATAATTCGATAGAACTCACCCAAACTAGCTCACCACCGCAAACCCTTTCTTGCTGTGAGCTCCCTACGTTTTATAAAAAATTATTCAAATCCCCGATTTTTCGGACCTCTGAAAACGAGGCGAAGATGTGACGTCAAAACCTAAGAGGGTCCGTTTTCAGAAGGTACTGTTATTTATGTCCAAAAATAAAAAATTCCAGTTAATTTTTCGATCGAATTATGTCGTCAATCATTATTTATGTATAAAAGGATCATTATAAACATGGTTTGAGTTAAAAGTTCTACTAAGGTGTGCACGCCCATTCCTTGGAATTCCTTGGAATTCCTTGGATTTTCTTGGAATTCCTTGGATCTCCTTGAAATTCCTTGAAATTCCTTGGACATCCTTGGAATTCCTTGGATTTTCTTGTAATTCCTTGGATTTTCTTGGAATTCCTTGGCGTTCCTTGTGAAATTGAAGTTTGGTGCACACAATTTTAACCGCGGTTTACCCTTCGTCCATGAGTAAATGGCCAAAAAATATTTTAATGACTACAAACATATTACAATAATTTATAGAAACTCTACATTAATCTGAATCAGCTTTTCGCAATACAAAGTGTGTCCAAGATGAGGATAGGACATATAAAGAGAGTTAATAGTTACAGTTTTGATTTGAAACGGAAAAGTTTCATTACTGAAGAACCATTTACAAAATAATCATTTTGGAAATATTGTAGAAAGAAAAAACGTATTCATTGAATTGATAATAAATTCAGAAAATTAATGACAATTTTGGAATTTCAAAATCTTGTGTGAATGTTACTGCAAACTATTTCCGCATAAAACCAAACCGTGACTATCATCACTTTCGATATAGCATTCTCATTTTGGACACTGTGTGTAATCGATTTATTTAATATTTACTAAATGATTTAGATATTGTTTTCTATTTTAAGTGAATAGTTTATGCTATATATATGGATGAGTCCTCCAATTGATATAATTTTTTAGTGTATGTAATTATATTGCAGTAGGTACCATTTAATGAATGAAAAATGTCTACTATACAACTCTACATAAATAAAAATAGTTATATTGCTGTTTTTATCGGTGGTTTATTCCAAATTCTCGCACGCTATTAGATTATTTCAATCTACTGCCAATAAAATAGAAAAAATAACCAGAATATGTGTGACAATGCACAAAAAAAAAACAATTGAGAAAGATGATGCGATGAATAGCACTAGCGCTAGACCAAAACAAATTTCTACGGTGGTCACAGAACGAAAAAATGTATGAAATGTTCAATTGATAATATATTTCTCATTATGCAACTTTTATTGACGGGATATTTCGTGGATCTTTATATTTCGATAAATTCTACATCCTCCTAAAAAATGCCTCACCTTTGAAAATACCCTGTATATTTGAATAACTGAGCAAGTTTTTAAAAGTTTTGAAATGAATATTCAATTATTCACAATATTCAGTTACATAATTACAGTGAAATCACTCGCTCATATAATAATAATAATCATTTGACATGTTTTACTACAATCTTGATACAGGGTGGGTCATTAGTGCGTCGGAGCTCGATTGCTCGAGTTCTATGATAGCCAGAAACATTATTGAAAAACGAATGTCAATGAGACAACAAGGTCCGTAACTAGGAATTTATTGCCGCATCGGAAAAAATCTTGAGGGTCAGGTTCACTTTTTTTTAAATAGAATGCACCTTTTTTGAAGCATTCCTGTGACATCCATCCACTCCTATAATATTGTTGACTATTTCTCGATCATTTCAAAGTTATTAATTTTTTGTCGAAATAATGTCATCTGCAGATTCATACCGGAAAAATCACTGTAATCACAATTATGAAGTTTGAGAGATAATAATCATAATATCATTTGATGAAAAGATGCGTGATATTTCTGTAGAATTTTATGCCCTCGAATTATACAGGGTGGCTAAACATTTTTCAGCTTTCGGAAGTGATTTTTCTAGAGTGTTTCAAATGGAACACCCCATATATTTTTAGGCCTTCTGGTGTAAAATCGAAACACGAACATCTTTTATCCCAACATCCATATCGATTTTCGTAACCATTTTTGAAATACTGAAAATTCCAGGTTGGTCATTTTCATCGATACACATTCTTATCTGTTATTAAAACATCAAAAGTCCAATCAATAAATCAGTAAACCAGTTTTTTTATTGAAATAATTCAAACCGGAATCAAAGCAATCATCAGAAATAGTTCATATTGGTCTCAGGAGTCTATGGTATCATTTTGTACAGACCTTTCAGGGACACCCTGTATATCAAAGACTGGAACCTTTGGCACGCGAGGCGTATAAAAAATCGGTTTGGTGAGTGGTAAAATAGTGTAGTGTATCAAAATATAGAGGGGGTTTGGTTCACCGACATATATACGGAAGGAGGTGGTAGGTTATGTGATTTTGAACAAATTTGACCATATATACCATTATTCAAAGTGCTACACTTTCGAGAAATCATGGCTTATAAATTCGAGATTACAAAAATCGTTTTTTAATTCTGACGAGCCAAAAAATGTTCTTATCACATTAGATCACTTTTCATGCTCAATATCGATTAAACGCGTATCCAACTTCCTTAGAAATAAAAGATTTAATCAGATAAAATGTTTGAAAAAACGATGATACCTCGAAATTTGTATAATAGTATAAATATGGTGAAATATGTTCGAAATGTTCTCACCTATCACCCATGTAGCGAAACCAATACGAGATTGCTATATTCCAGTCATTTCCCGAAATAATCACCCTAATTGTATAGTATTTCGTACTTTATCATTATCCCCACGGGTATTCCCCTGTGTTCGAATCCTCGTTTCAATAGTTATTTTTGTATCTAGAGCGCGAAAGCTACTTTGGTGATCGAGATCTGATTTTTTTAACGAGGCGTAGCCGAGTAAAAAAAATAGTCGAGATGACCAAAGTATTTCGCACTCGAGTTGCAAACAAAATTTTTTCTGCAAACGTCAAAAATATAGTTCTAAAGTGAAAATATGCTTAGCTTGATATAAAAAATAGTGTTGAACTGGCTTGAAAGGCCTCCCCCTATCCTCCCTAGGTTCCACGAACATAATGGGCATTTCCTTTCGTGCGCTCCAAGAGATAAAACAAAGTTATTGTTGATTATTCAGAAATAAATGATTTCGTGGATGTTTGCTCGATTGAGGATCATGAAGTTGAAATATAAATATCTCATATATTTTACATAACAATGCGCGAAGTAGGTACTTCGCGCACTGTTTTACTTCGCGCATTGTTATGTGCAAGGTATCATGGTAACGTAGGAAACTGAAAAAAGTGTCACTTCGCAATTTGTTATCAATGCGCGAACCTTGTCATTTTTTGACGTTTGTAGAAAAAATTATTTAGTTGTTTCTAGTTTTTGTTGAATACCGAAAGAAGCGAGCTCCCGTTTTTATATAATAAAGTAAAAATTTCGAACGTTGTGGCTCTTGGGAGTGTTCAGTGCGTAAAATATATCCAAGCTGACATCGTCAACCAAAAAGTTTTCCCCAATTTCGAAAGTGTTTGCCATTGGCTGCACAGAATATTTGTGTTCTCATCTGTCCTGAAATATACTTATTTCAGCAACAGTGTGCCTGATCTGTCAAGTGAGTTACGTCATTAAAATATATTGATTATAGTTTACTGGACTCGATTATCTTTGCTACTTATTTGTCAATTGTATTCGGATCATATCGTGGAAAAAAAAATGTTGTATTTGGTTTTCTCTGTCAGTTTTTAGACGCATGCTACGATTGGGTGGAATTAAAACTTGGGCTGTCCGACTTAACGAGTTTTTCTTACCCAGAAACCACATATACAGTGTGAACCCATATAAACTACCCCCTGTATACATAATGACACCCTCAAAAAGGCACAATGGTGAAATCGACCGATAATCTGTCACCACCTGCCGGTCTAACATAATCTTTGTTTCATTAGATAAGGAAATGATATAGAAGACATGAAATGTACCTCATTGCTTCATCAAAAACAGTTGAGGAAATCACGTCATAGCAGTAGAAAAAAGTTTTTATTTTGAAAAATATGGATCTTTCACTCGAATTTGATGCCTTGTGCTAGCGGCAAATCTTTCGAATGATTTATTGTTATCGTCGACCGCCTCATGTACTGCTTCCAAGCGTCACTTCCGGATTCTCTGCCGCCCCCTGTGGCCTTCTCTCCCCCAAACGCGCCCCCGATTTCAGCCCCCGAGGTGGGTATGTTGACGTTCACGATGCCGCAATCCGAACCGTTAGGACCTATCCACTGAAAAAAAAACAGAAGTATTATTTGTATAGCAATTTTTTTCTCGTTGCTACAACCCCCTCATAAAAAAAATGGGGCCGTGATTTCGGTCTAGACCCAAGCTCTCACCCAGCAAACACAGATACATCACAGAGATATCGCAGCGATGTAACAATTGCCTCCTGCGATACGTCGCATTCTATATCTCATAGACGTCGCTGCGATGTCACAGGGATGTTATTTTGTCTCACTCAAGTTTCATCCATGCGACGTAGCTGCGATAAGTTCTCTGCGATATAATAGCGATATAATAGCGATATATTTTTTGTAATATAATTGCGATAGGTTATTTATGATATTTCTTCATTGCAGTTGGAGTTTTTCCGTTAACATTTTGTCGTACACAATCATTGTTTGAAACATTTCATAAAAAAACTGGAAGCTTTAGCAAAATGATCGTGTTTCGCAAATTGTCTAAGTCATTTTGGTTTGTGGGGAAACAGTGTTCAAATGACTGAAAATATTCACCTTGAAAATATTTTCCAAGTTTTGGGAGAAAAGGCTAGATGACAGTCCTTGAGGCACTTCATTGTTCCACGATATGGCGTCTTGGACACTATCAGTTTTAAGTACGTAGACTATCGGTGCAAAACATTCATTGTGGACTAAAGGACTGTCGTGTGGCAAACCTGATACTATGGTTGGTTCTACGAAAAAACCTGGCCTATTCAATACCTAAAACATACAAGGAATGATTTATGAATTTCCTCTACTGAAGTAATATTTGTTACCTTTCCTCCGAATTCAATGGTTCCACCCTGTTTCTGTATCTCTGATATTGTTTTCTTGTATTCTTCCAAAGCCAGCTTGCTATGAAGAGGCCCCACTAGCGTATTTTCTTCCAAAGCATCTCCAATCCTGTTCAAAACTTGCTTATAAGCCTTTTTCAGTCTCTCCAAAACTTCTTCATAAACCTAAAATACCTTCCAAATTAACTAGAGAGTGAAAGTGTACTTTATTGACTTACGTTTTTATGAAGGATCAGTCTTCTAGTAGTCGTACATCTTTGTCCTGCAGTTCCGACGCAAGCGAATACAGTAGCTTGGACCACCATGTTCAAATCTGCATCTTCGGCTACTATAAGGGCATTGTTACCACCCAGTTCCAGCAGGTGTTTTCCAAATCTCTTTTGGACCTCCACACCCACCTATAGAAACATACATTGAAAAAGAACAGGGCCAAATACTGATCCTTGAGGAACCACTCAAGTTAGTTTATTCGCAAATATTTTAGACAGCGAAATGACATGATAAATATTGTTTTTTTACCATTTGTCCAACTCTAGTGCTTCCGGTGAAAGATAATAGTTTGATTCTTTGATCGCTGGCCATGCTCTTTCCGATATCTGATCCTCCACAGCACAGAGCTGCTACAGCCCCAGGCAGGTTATTCCTTTGCAAAACCTCGGCCACAATTTTAGTAGTTGCTACAGATACTAGGGGAGTTGTTTCAGCACCCTTCCATAGAATTGTGTCTCCACACACCTTGAAAAAAAATCAAAATTGAATATTTATATAGAAGATAAATGTTACAGGCCCCAGAACAGAGCCTTGTGGCACGATGAGTAAGCAGTCTTTGTTTCCTATTTTTGCTGTATGTTGGAGTATATAGGCACAGAAAAAAGTTGCTAAGTATTTTTTACCATTGCAATGGCACTGTTCCATCCATAGACAGCAATAGGGAAGTTGAATGCAGAAATAACTCCGATAAGGCCCAGTGGGTTCCATTTTTCCAGAAGTATGTGACCGGGTCTTTCCGAAGGGAAAATTGACCCAGCCAGAGATCTAGATATGCCTACGGCGTAGTCACAAATGTCAATATATTCCTGGACTTCTCCTATGCCTTCGGGAAGGATTTTTCCTGAAATTTTTGGGATTCCGGATTAGGAACTTGGAAGATTCGAAATGTCTATGAAAATACATTGATAAATGGAAAATAAGGTATTATTACTCGTCCATTACAAACATCAATATAAGTGCTTTCATAAAGTACTGAATAAATTATTTTAGCCAAACTATACATTTCTGAGAGATTTCCTGATACAGGTCGATTTGCATTTTCAATTTCCCACATTTCAAAGAAAAAAAATGTATATACAGGGTGATCCACGTTTGAGTAATGACGCCGGCGTTATTTTTTTCAAATGGAACGCCCTATATATTATTCCATTTTTGGAATCTCCTTAGAAAGCTGAATTCAAAAATATATCACACAAGGGTTTCTATACAGTGCGTCCGTTGAATTAAATATTTTCGTAAAGCACTGAATACATTCATTTTTAGCCAACTATCCATTTCTGAGGAATCTCCTGAACGAGATCAATTTCAATCTTCAATTTGTCACATGTCAAAGGAAAAATTCGATATACAGGGTGATCCACGTTTGAGTTATGAAGTCCGCGACAATTTTTTTAAATGGAACACTATATATTATTGAATTTTCAGAAACTGTTTGGAAGGCTGAATTCGAAAATAAATCACACGTAGGGTTTGCATACAGTGCGTCCGTTATATACAGTGCTATTGTGAAATGGGGTTGCCATTAAAAAATACCGATGGCATAATATCTCCTACAAGAATTATTCTGTATGTATCAATTGAATTTGGAATAATGTCTCAATGAACCTAAAATTCGTCGGCTCTGAGCGTTCTTTCTAAACATTTTTCCTTCAATTTTTAACCAATTTTCCACTAGTTCACGAAAGCACTTAATTTAATGGACGCAATAATGTATACAAACCATGTATGTAATATGTTTTCGAATGTAGCTTTCCATGGAGATTTCGAAAATAAAATGATATATAGGGTGTTCTATTTGAAAAAATTGTCGCGGATGTTATAACTCAAATGTAGATCACATAGTGTAATAAATTTTTCCGTAAAAATGTGGAAAATTGAAGATGAAAGTCGACCTGTTTCAAGAGAGTCTCACAAATTGATGGTATAGTTAAAAATTAATTGATCCACTACTTTACGGAAGCACTCAATTTAATACACCTCCGAATTTAGATTTTCATGGGAATTCTGAAAATTGAATAATATATAGGGTGTTCCATTTAAAGAAATTGTCGCGGTCGTCCTTACTCAAACTCTCCTTATAAATTTTGCAAATTGGGAATAAAAATAAGCTACCTGTTTCAGGAGATTCCTCTCAAATGGATAGTTTTCGGTTCGTTTTTGATTGATTTACATCAGTAATGAATTAGTGGAAATGACTGAGCTTTTCCTTTTCCCTTTTTAGAAACATTCGACAGCACTTTGAGCAAACATAGACTTCTAAGAGATATGATTTCATTGTTATTTGATGAAGCTCTACGTGACCTATCATTTGATACCGAACACGATATATTCATCGCCACTTATTACCGAGATATTCGGCTTTTTCACCAAACGGAGCGAAGCGAAGCAAAACCGAGTTGAGACAAACTCATATTCGTTGAAAATCTATCTAGGGGGACGACATTTGGTATCCAGATGTTTTTGACGTCAGGGATCGCGAATTCGAGATCGGTTTCTGAATTCGGCAGTTTCCTTACCCATTTCAATGGATACCAGTTGTCCCAAGGGAACCAATTTCTTTCTCAAGGCGTCCCCTATCTGCCTCACGATTTCTCCTCTTCTAGGAGCCGGTAGTTCGGCCCACGTGGCCCAAGCTAGTTGAGATGCCTTCACGCAAGATTCGTAGTCTGATGTGCTTCCTTCTTGAACCTCAGCTATCACCCTCCCATTGCTAGGACAAATCGATTGAACCACCTAGAAATGTTTTCAGATTGAAAAAAATTGGCAAGGATTTCGTAAAACCACATTTCTCTTTTTTGACTACTATTTATTCATTCTTCATTGCGATAATGAGCTCTGCTTGACAAATGAATAATAAGTGGTCCACATCGCAATAACGCCTTTTTCCTGAAATGTTGACGTTTTTAGGAATGTCTCTAATTTAATAAGCTGATCTGATCATAAAATGAAAGAGTTTAATCATGAAATCGATACAGGGCGAGGAAGTCATCACTTCAATGCCTTCGATAATGATCGAATATCGATCCACAGGGTGATACCAAAGAATCGTGAAATTCAGTCATGCTTGAGAATGTTTTAAATCATTCTTGATATAATTTTTGATCTTCATGGTGAAATTTTCAGGAGGACCAATTCATTTGTCAAGTACTTTAATACAATATTTGAATGGATATATACAGTGTATCCCACTTATGATGCTCACCATGGGTATCTTTTTAACGGTGAGAGATACGAGGTCGGCTAAGTGACACCAAATGTGGAGTTTGTCAAGGCCAACTATAATGTGAAAAAATATTTTGATAAAATATATTCGTTTTTGTTTTATACGCAAAAAACAGATTTTGATCATCTTCAGTGTCTCCTCCGTGACTTCTTTATTTATGAAAATATTCAAATAGGAATTTCACATTCTCATGGCAGTTTTTCAAAGTGATTTCGAAAAAAATATGAAATTCATACCAACTCTTCTAGAATTTGAGATAACAGCACCAACTTTAGTTTTTCAAATGTAGGTCATATAGCTATCACTATGACTTAGTTACAAATAACTTTTTTTTTCTCTTAGAGATGATATGTCGCAGTAATAGTATTGTGTTGATAACAACGTTATCGTCATTTATACAAAAACAAAAAATTATTTGGAAGCCGCCATCTTGAATTCATAAATTTTAACAAAAAAATCATGTTCTCCGTCCTCAAAAACCCCCACTTATCAATTTTGAATGGAATCGGACCAAATCTTGTCCACAATACATTATGGAAATTTTGTTGAAATTAAAAAAATGGCTGCTCCAAGATGGCGGACAAGTTTTCGTCCGATTCCATTGAAAATTGGTAAGTGGGGGATTTTGAGGTCGGAAATCATGTTTTTTTTGTTAAAATTTATAAATTCAAGATGGCGGCTTCCAAATAATTATTTGTTTTTGTATAAATGACGATAACTCTGTTGTTATCAACACAAAACTATTACTGCGACATATCATCTGTAAGAGAAAAAAAAAGTTATTTGTAACTAAGTCATAGTGAGCTATGACCTACATTTGAAAAACTGAAGTTGGTGCTGATATCTCAAATTCTAGAAGAGTTGGTATAAATTTCATATTTTTTTCGAAATCACTTTGAAAAACTGCCATAAGAATGTGAAATTCCTATTTGAATATGTTCATAAATAAAGAAGTTATGGAGGAGACATGAAAATGATCAATATCTGTCTTTTGCATATAAAACAAAAACGACTAGATTTTATCAAAATATTTTTTCACATTATAGTTGGCCTTGACAAACTCCACATTTGGTGTCATTTAACCGACCTCCTATCTCTCACCGTTAAAAAGATACCCATGGTGAGCATGGTAAGTGGGACACACTGTAGATAATTAATATTTTCCTTTTGATTAATATTGTTTGTTTACCTTTCCTGATCCTTTCCAAGTGCCATCAAAAACTCCAGAATTTCGCTCTTTCAGGCCTAATTCTTGCAAAAACGAATATTTTTTATCATTCACTAAGAAGCTCGAAGATGATTCAGCCATTGTCCTAGTAAAAACTGAGAATTTGTTAGGGGTGTGTAACTTAAACAGCCAAACTTTTGCTAGTACTCTCATAACTAATTCTCATTTACCAATAAGATTTATCTTGTGAATAATAGGGATTATAATGCAGATGCAGATTACCGTTGATTTCCAGTTTTTGTTAGTCTTATCAATTTTGTTTATAGCTTGATGAAATATTTGAACAAATAATATCTAAGAGTAAGCTTATTGAACATGCTTTTCTTGAAAGGTCAACTAAGTCAACATTGATTAGATATCTGGAAGCATTAATGTAACAACATTCATCAATCTCCCTGCCTGATAGTTATGAGACGAACATATACCCGGTGTCCCAGTATACCTGTTCCAATGGATTATCTAAGTCATTTCGAAAGTAACAAATTTGAGAATTTCATGATCTCCAATTCGTTCAAGGAACCTTCAACTGAGGAAAACGGAAATTGAAAGTCACTTCCGGTTTGACCGGAACTGACTCTGACTTCTTTATTTCAAATAGCACCCTGTATATTTTTTGCAATTTTTGCTTTCTACTCAAAATTGCCTTTCCAACGATGTATCACACTTTGTACTTTACATTTGATATGATGAAAAAAACGACAAATTGAAATTTGGAATTAAAATCAGTATCATATCCAATTTCTCTTGAATTGTGAAGTTATCATATCTTTTTCACGGTTATTCATTCTTGAATGTCGCACACAACCATTGAGAATTATTAACTGTCAAAGATATAAACAAATGTATTCAAATGTTTCCATGACACACTAAGGTTTTCATTTAAGAATTATTAATTCTTCCAGTTCTACTACATATTTCTATAATAATTTGAAATTTGACGTTCTCTTCATCATCTCGAATGCTGAATTGTTCATGAATCATAAATTATTGAGGAACAAATCGTTATGTACACAAAATATCGTAGTCTACTGCAATTCTTTCGATTTCAAATTTCAATTTTCGTTTTCTCTATCAAATCAATTGTAAAATGCAAAGTGTGATACATCGTTAGAAAGGTAATTTTGAGTAGAAAACAAAAATTGCGAAAAATATACAGGGTGCTATTCAAAATGAAGAAGTTAGTCACTTCCGGTCAAACCGGAAGTGACTTTCAATTTTCGTTTTTCTGAGTTGAAGGTTCCTTGACCGAATCGGAGATCATGAAATTTTCAAGTTTGTTACTTTCGAAATGACTGAGATAATCCATTGGAACAGGTATACTGGGACACCCGGTATACATAGTATATCTATTTCTCTGTCTTAACTCATCAACTCTCGAAATGTACGTTTCATTATTTTTTTTTTTGTTCAGGTTACCCAATTTCATCAAGCAAATCCAGATTCATTGAAAATATAATCTTCCTCTAGTGAATAATGTTCTCAATATTAGAAAGTAATTCAATGTGCACTGTTAAACATTATAACATGAAAATTGGCCATTTCCATTGTTAGTAGCAATACCTACCCTACCATCGTTCAGTATACGTGGAAAGTCTTTAAACAACAAAAATATGAACTAAGTGATTCCTTTATTTCAAAATAATTACATAGTGTTGGGTGTTCTCTGGCAGAACACTCTGTACCTAATCTTGACCAGGAACTTCACTGATATGAACGGCTGGACTGACGAGTTCTTCCGTTTGGCATCCAGTTTAGGTTCCTGAAACAGAATTAAAATGTATTATTTCCAAACTGACTAAGATATTGGACATCTACTATAAATTTCTATTTGAATTGTTGATACTCACCTTTGACAAGTATGCCTTAAATGGGTTATCTAATTTTGTGGTTCTGGTACTGCAGATATTTTTCAACAGTCGTTTGTGGAATTCCTAATTCTCTTATTTTTATTCAATATTTACATTCATAGGAAAAGGTAATAATTAGGTCATTAGCATAATGTCCTATTTGTCATATGTCATGATCATAATTTGTCATTCGTTATACGTCAAGGGTCAAGTGCATTCCAGTTCAGTTGGAGGGCATCGAGTGTAGTGCCTGGGGTGATGCAGTGTAGCCGGGATCCTCCCAGTTGATTTCGCTGTGACGTCAGGTCACCTTCACTTCACAACTATCTGGTCTGTGGGTAGACGAAGCTGCGATTATAGGATGATACGTACGTTACTGTCGTTTGCTGCTCGTGGGTTTTTCTGCTGCTTTATGTGGCAGTTGGCAATATCATAATTATTATTATTAAGTTGGTTCTGCAGGTGCGCAGAAACTAATTTACATTTCGAATGTTTTTTCTGAACGGTTTTCAAAATGATCTGCTCATTTAGTGACGAATTTCCTTTTTCCTTGTCGAAATTCTGTCTGTTCGACGAGCTCTGAGATTCCATGAAGATGGTTGACCATTTTTATTTCTTCCTCCGGTGTGAGCAGCACCCGAAACATAGGCTATTCCTACGGGAAGGTAAGCTGTTTTATTTTCATTCCCCATTTCGGGATACCTTTTAGCAGATGGGATTATTCCAGATTTGCTGGCCTTTTTGGGTGAGGTTAACTCACGCCTGGACCACGCCGTGCACGCCGGATTTTGTCGACGACCTAGACCTGCCTTTTCATCCGATTCCTGCAAGTACCTGCATGTCAAGCAGTCCTCCCCAGCTTTGGAGCCCTGTTGCGATCATCTGCTGCCCAGGAATGTTGAAGGCCCCGCTGTTTCTCTAGGACCGCCAGGACACGTGACATTGTCCCATCCAGGCACTGGCCCCATGAGACTACAGGGACGTAGTGCTACCTTAAATTCTGCTGCTTGCTGTGTGGCTCTCATTTCTGCTGTTTGCTGTGTGGCTGCTTAGGCTCCAGGCTCTGTTTAATGCCTGAATTGCTTCTGGGACCACAAGGTTAGACCCATCCAGTTTCTACTGATAAAAGGGGAGATATCCTCATGATTTCCATTTAGGAGGATTTTACCACTCGAAATCATAGATATTTAATTTTCTTAAATTTAATTATGAAATTTATTAATTAATACATAAAATATAGTTTAAAATAACTAGTAAGTCTCACACCAGTTTGTGAACTCATATATTGGCCAATATAAGGGGGGTAACTTTGATAAATGATAGTGTTTTAGGCACCCTGGTGTAAAGACAAGTATATCAACTTTCACAACTGCTACAAAAGTTCAATTAGAAAATAACTGAAACAATATTTGGTGGTGTCCAAGTATTTCTCTTCTTTTATATAAATCAGTTGTGTCTTAGTACTTCTTTTCCTTTATATAAATTGCTACTGATGGGTTTATTAAATAAGTGTAGTCCAACTGAGATATTTTATTTCCAACAGTTTTCTTTTCTCAATTTTTGCTTAAATAAATTGGGTGGCGCCTGACAATATAAATAGGACCCCTATTGAAATCGAACCCATACCTTGCTCCCTAACAACAGAGCTGCCACAACTATAACGAATATTGATGGACATCAAACAAGGTAGGTAACTTCCAACACTTACCAGAGCTAAAGAGAAAATATTCGTTATAAGAAATGGCGCCCAACGTGGGGCCCGATTTTTCGAGTGGTAAAACCTATTGAAATTTGAAAATATATCTTGCCAAATATATCTTGCCAAATATATCTTCCCAAATATATCTTTTTATATTCATATCTTCCTTCATATGTGGAAATACACAGTGGTCAAAAACAGGTCGGCAGGTACAGTGTTTTGCTGGAGAGCACTCAATTCTCTGGTAGTTAATTTTTCTTATTTTCATTAAATGAATTTTTCTTGAATTCTGCAATTGAGTTCTAAATATTTGTAGGTTATGTAAAAATTTACAAAATTATTTTCATTTAAATGATAAAGTTATACTGAATTAAGTATACAGGGTGATCACATTCATTGGGGCTTGAATATTAAATAATAATTTTTTGAAAAATTTTTTATTAAAATAAATTGTTCAAAATGGAAGGTCAAATCAAACCAAAGTTTTTGCTAGTTGACGAGATGGACTATGAACTGCGTATACGGGGTGTAGTCACAAATAGAGACATGAATGAAAAACGTAAAATTTTAGGAACTGCCTTGCGCAAGGAGAAGAAGGGATCTCCAGAGCTGGTCGATCCCAACTATGTTTTTGGTGATGAAAAAACTCAGATAACTGCTACTTTAGATAGTATTTCAAGTCAAATTCCAGATTTTGATATTACAACAACAGATTCATTATATCAAAGATTGAAAGCTAGGTTAGGGCATGTTGAGGCTAGGATTAGGAGGATGAAAATAGATATTTCAAAAAAAGAGGAGGTTTCTTTCAAAAATGAGGCATATGCTACATGCTTAACTTTAGAAGCAAGTTTAGAAGAACAAATAAAGCCCACCTCAAGTGCACCACCAGTATTGCCTTTACCTCAACCTAATGTTAGTTCTCAAATGGTCAGTGCACCTTCTACTTCAAAGCCAGCTGCAGTATATAAATGGAATTTGAAATTCGATGGAACAAAAAATACCTTAGGGGTTAAATCATTCTTGGAAAGAGTTGAGGAACTTTCTAAAGCAAGACATGTATCTAAGCAGGAACTTTATGATTCAGCTCTTGATTTATTTGATGGAAAAGCACTTTTATGGTTTCGATATGTCTCAAGTAGTGTGAAAGACTGGGATACCCTTGCTAGGAGACTAGAACAAGATTTTTTAAATAAGGATTTTGATGAGGAATTGTGGGAGACAATCAAGCATCGTAAACAACGTGATGATGAATCAGTAATTCTTTTTGTAGCTGTAATGGAACAATTTTTTAATAGGCTGAGTAACCCTCCCGCCTCTGTCACCAGAGTTAAGTGGATACAAAAAAATTTAAAACCAGAATATGTAGAAAGGTTAGCCCTTCACAAGTATGACACAATAGAAAATTTGATTATTGATGCAAGGGCATTAGAAGACGTTTTCAGGGATCTTCATGTCAAACCTGCTTCTCGCAGACAAAATGTCAGTTCATTGAGCAATGATTTAGAACTAGAGTTTGGTAGTTGTAGTGTTCAGGCCGAGCAGGGTAGTTCACAAATGAATTTCAATCAGGAGCGCACAAGAAATTTTGGAAATAGAACGTTCAGAAATCAGAACCAGAGACAGGGTTGGAGATCGGGCAGTTCTCGAGATTTCTCTTCTTCTGCGCCTAGTCAACCTTCTAGCAACAATGAATCCCCTCGAAGCAGAACCGAAACTCCCCAAACTTCTAGAAAACCCATGATATGTTATAATTGTCGTC